CTGCCTAGTTTTTAACACCCTATCATAATTTCCTTCTTAAGATGAGCTTCACTGGTTTAATAAAAACCTGAGGAAATGAATCATCAAAGGGATAAAGTCGTCAGGACAACGCAACAGCTAGCACAACTTCATAAGTATCTGCAATAATTTTCCCATACAATTTAGCTCCTAATTTATAATGTTCCAGTTCCTATGGCTCATAAAAAATTACCCCAAAACTTAGTGTCATAAAATAATCATTTAATATGCTCACAGATTTCATGGATCAGGAATTCAGACAAGGCACAGGAAGGCAGGTTGACTCTACTCCAGCATCTGGGGCCTCAGCTGGAAGCCTTGAAGGCTGGCGGCTGGAATCTTCCAAGACCGTGTTCAGTCACATGTCTAGACGGCGAGGATGGCTGTTGGCTGTAGGCCTCAGTTCTTTGCAGGAGCAGGCATCCCCACAAAGAGCCAGGCAGGGCCGGGCAAGGTGGCTCACGCCCGTAATCCTAGCACTTGGGGAGGCTGAGGCAGGCAGATCACGAGGTCAGTTCGAGACTAGTCTGGCCAACATCATGAAACCCCATCTCTACTAAAAATACAAAAAATTAGCTGTGTGGTGGTGTGCACCTGTAATCCCAGCTACCCAGGAGGCTGAGGCAAGAGAATTGCATGAACTAGGGAGGCAGAGGTTGTAGTGAACCAAGAGCACGCCATTGCACTCCAGCCCAGGTGACAGTGCAAGACTCTGTCTAAAACAAAAACAAAAACAAAAAAGCCAGGTAGAAGCTGTATCCTTTTTATGTCACACAGCATTACATTTGGCATATTGTATTTTATACATACATACATGTTTGTATACGTATGTACATATGTATATGTAATATATTAACTGTTGCCTTATAACAAATTACCCCAAAACTTAGTGCTATAAAACCACAAATAGGCTGGGCACGGTGGCATGTTCCTATAATCCCAGTACTTTGGGAGGCTAAGGCAGGAGGATCACTTAAGCCCGCAGTTCAAAACTAGCCTGGGCAACATAGGGAGACCCCATCTCTACCAAAAATAAAATATTAGCCAGTGCTGAGTGCAGTGACTCATGCTTATAATCCCAACACTTTAGGAGGCTGCAGCAGGCAGATCACTTGAGGATAGGAGTTCAAGACCAGCCTGGCCAACATGATGAAACTCTGTCTCTACTAAAAATACAAAAATTAGCCTAGTGTGGTGGTGCAGCTTGCAGTCCCAGCTATTTGGGAGGCTGAGGCATGAGAATTTCTTGAATCTGGGAGGTGGAGGATGCCATGAGCCAGGATCATGCCACTGCGCTCCAGCCTGGGTGACAGAGTGAGACTCTGTTTCAAAAAATATATATGCATATTTTTTATTATTTTGATTTTTTTTTTTTTGAGACAGAGTCTTGTTCTGTCACCTAGGCTGGAGTGCAGTCGCATAATCTTGGCTCACTGCAACCTTTGCTTCCTGGGTTCATGTGATTCTCATGCCTCAGACTCCTCAGTAGCTAGGACTACAAGCATGGGCCACCATGCCCAGCTATATATAAACATAACATATACATATAATTATTATATATATAATATATAGTAATTATTATTATTAGCCAGGCGTGGAGGCACACAGCTATAGTCCCAGCTACTTGGGGGATGTTGAGGTGGGAGGATTGCTTGAGCCCAGGTGTTCAAGGCTGCAGTGAGTCACTGTAATGAGCAACAGAGTGAAACTCCCCGTTGCAAATAATAAAACGTAAACAAAACCACAAACATTTATGATCTTACATAGTTTCTTAGGATTGAGAATGTAGGAGCTGGGTTGTTCTGTCTCAGGGCCTCTCATGAGATTACAAGGCTATGGTCATCTGAAGGCTTGACGGGGCTGCAGGATTTCCCAGCTCACACACTAGTGCTGGCAAGGGGCCTTTGTGCCTCACCATGCAGGCCTCTCCAGAGGGCTACTCTGGCATGGTGGTTGTCTTCCCCCAGACCCACTGATCCGAGATGGAAGGTAAAGCGCCTTTTGTAACCTAATCTCAGAAGTGACATACTGTCCCTTCCGCCCTGTGCTATTAGTCACACAAAGGACCCTTGGACAGTGTAGGAGGGAAGTATACCAGGCTGTGAATAACAGGAGGTGGGACCACTGGGGGCCTCCTTGCAAAGCACAACCTGCTAAATAGATATGGTTACATGTACATGTGCCCATCTGTCTTCCCTTCCCTTATTTATTTATTTATTTTGAGACAGAGTCTTGCTCTGTCATCCAGGATGGAGTGCAATAGCATGACCTCAGCTCACTGCAACCTCCACCTTCCAGTCTGAGCAATTCTCCTGCCTCAGCCTCCCATGTATCTGGGACTACAGGCACACTCCATGACGCCTAGCTAATTTTTGTATTTTTAGAAGAGATGTGGTTTTACCATGTTGACCAGGCTGATCTTGAACTCCTAACCTCAGATGATCCGCCTACCTCAGCTTCCCAAAGTGCTGGGATTACAGGTGTGAGCTACCACGCCTGGCCCTTCCTTTCCCCTTTTAAAGTCCAAGTCTGTATTTTGTTCTGCTCAATCCCCACAACCTTGCTTTTTAGCATGCAGCAGGTACTCAATAAATACTATGTAGACAGATATTATACAAGACACGACTAGTGTCTGCACATAGCCAGCTTCCCTCCATTCTGCCATAGAGCACTTCTCAGCCCCCTGCAGTTGGGTGGGCTTGTGATTACTTCTAGCCAGTTCAACATGCATGGAAAAACCTGCATCAGTGCCACAGTGAGGGAACGAAAGGCGGGGTTATGACTGTCTAGTCTTTTTCCTGCCATGGCATCCCAGGAACTACAGATGTCAAATGGTCTGGCAAGTGTAGCTAACACATGAATAGTCTCAGTCTACTTCCATCCCAAACCTAAGAGGCTGTGCAGAATGGAGGCTCTGTCCCCTGGGAGACAAGCTGCAGGCACATGAAAAGTGTCTGAGTTCTGGGGGAGTTGTTACTGTAGTCTGATCTGACCTATTCAGGTTACAGATTTACCATCTCTTTTATCAAACCTGCTAGCCTCAAGTAGCAGATGGAGATACTGAGGCTCAAAAAGCCAAAAGACTTACCCAAGGTCATATAGCAAGTACATAGCGGAGATGAGTTTTGAATTTGAGTCTTCTGTCTACTAGTTCAGGAGGTAGTATGGTATAGCGATTAATTCCATGGAAGGTTGAGCCAATACACTTGACCTGAACACTGAGGAGCGAATTGCTAAAGTTCTCTAGGCTCAATGATCTCAGTCTGTAAATTGGGAACTGATGATTACCTTCTTCAAAGGTTACCTGTGCAGATTACGAGGATTAAATGGGATGAACTCATGAATCATAAGCCCTTGATAAAAGCAGTATATTCTCATTATCATTTCCCTTATACTTCCGCTTCTGAGCTAACTATTAGAGTTTCAGCCTTTTTCTTTTACCCTTCCCCTGACTCAAATCTTTTACAAGGTATTTTCTAATCAATTCCAAAGCCCCAAGTCTATTTCCTCCCTAGTTTCTCTTGGTAAAGATGTCGAGGTGATTTTTTTTTCCTATTCAAACGTGACACATTTTCTATCTTTCTATTATTAGCCTTTCTCAGCCCAACATGCTTTTTTTTGGGCATTTCTCATTAATGCAGCCAGCCTGGTGACAGCATACAGCACTGCTGACTCAAGTCAGTGGACACAAAGCAAACCAGCCTCTCGCTCTGCCACCATTCGAGAACTTACTGCAAGAGAAAACTCTCAAGGAAAACAAAGCCTCATCTGCAAAGGTCATGTGTGTATCTACCCTGGGAGAAGAGGCCTTTTCAAAGCTCTTCTTTTTTACTGGAAAAGACTCATTACCTGTTCTTCAGTATCAGAATAGTCAAATAAATGAGGACTCGGTCATGTAATAAAATAGTATGCAGTCAACAAAAAGAATGAGCTAAGAATACTGCAACAAGTCTGATGATACAGTTTTAAGTGCAGAAAAGTAAGTTCCACAATATACAGAGTATAATCCTGATTTTGTAAAAGAAATACAATTTAATCGGGATACATACATACACATACCTATACATACACATACATATACATATGCATATCTATATGTGCAAACATACAGATACACAACTGCATATGAAAAAAAAAAACAAAAAACAAACAAACAATGGCCAGGCACCGTGGCTCATGCCTGTAACCCCAGCACTTTGGGAGGGACAGGCAGGTGGATCATTTGAGATCAGAAGTTCAAGACCAGCCTAGTCAACATGGTGAGACCCTGTTTCTACTAAAAATACTAAAATTAGCCAGGCATGGGGGTATATGCCCATAATCCCAGCTAGTCGGGAGGCTGAGGCAGAAGAATTGCTTGAACCCAAGAGACAGAGGGTGCAATGAGCCGAGATTGTACCACTGCACTCCAGCCTGGGTGACAGAGCAAGCCTCTGTCATTAAAAAAAGAAAGAAAGAAAAAAGAAAGAAAGAAAGAAAGAGAAAACTGAAAAAGAAAAAAGAAACAGTGGCTGGGCACAGTGGCACATGCCTGTAATCTCAGCACTTTGGGAGGCCGAGGTAGGTAGACCGCTTAAGCCAACCTGGGCAACATGGCAAAATTCTGTCTCTATATTAAAAAATACATAAAAATTAGCCAGGCATGGTAGTACACACCTATAGTCCCAGCTACTTGAGAGGCTGATGTGGGAGGATCACTTGAGCCTAGAAGGTTGAGGCTGTAGTGAGTGAGCTGAGATTACACCACTGTACTCTAGTCTGGGTAATAGAGTGAGTCCCTGTCCTCATTCAATTCTCACCATATCTCTAGGAGGTATGTGTTATTATCCCTGTATTACCAGAAAGCAATGCTCAGAGTCAAGTGTTCAAGGTCACACAATTGAACATGCAGCAAAATACATTAGTCAACAGAATATGCAGTTCCTAAAAGGTAGTCTGTTTGTACTCAGTAAAACACTGTGCCATGATTTCTGCAAATTCACCTGCTTATCAAACTCAGGCTTCAGAGAGTCTTCAGTGAAGATGTGGAATTGGATCTTCCTGTGGCTAAAGAGCACAGCTGATTTCAGCATGACCAGCGTCTCCTCCAGCCGACTGCCACAGGCCACCACAGCCAGGTGGATCCAGAGCTCGGGTGGCAGCACAGCTTGGAAACTCCTGGGTTCTCCAGGCCTCCTAGAAAGAAGGAAAACAAGTTAAAGCTATTACTGAACTCAAAAAAGTAAAAACAACAAAAAACCAGCTAGTGAATGGTTAGAACATTTCAAAACATGATCAGGCACAATCTGTTATATTTTATACAGTGATAAGCATTTTGACAATTCTTCCTGCTTGGAGAAAAATACCATTTATTCCTCTATTTATCCTGGCAATAGCAGGATGAGTCACTGTTTGGACTGCTATAGGTGTCTGAGGCTTTTTCTGCCAGCACTCAGCTGTCTAGTGCCTGCTGGCTGCCTACTGGCCCATGTTTGGAAATAGTATTGCTAAACATCGACAGCTGACACAAGGGCTGTGGAGCTCCCACTTGCACAGGCCATGAAAATTAGATTTGAATGCAACTTGAACAAGAGGAGGGTGGGTTGTGGCTTTCCCATGTGAAACAAGCAACAAGATATTCCCATCATCTGGATGTTTTTAGGTTGGGGTGGAATGCATGACCACTGGACCAAAGAAAGTCATGCACGTCTGGGAGGTGAGCAAAGAAAACAACATATGTGCCCTGACTACATCTCAGGTGTTAATCCTGACCGTCTCGCCAATACTGGTGAGGTGATGGTATGAAACTCATCTTCCAGTATGAAATTCACATTAATGAGAAACAGCCAGGAAAGGGGGCAGGTTAAATTGAAAATGATCAAGGTACCAAATACTGAGTCAACAGCTGACAGAGGGATAGGGTCCAAGGGTCCAGAATCATCATCCAGCTATTTCCTAGTAATAAAATATTTGTTCCAGACGAGGGGATGCAGCCAAGCCTCAAACACACCACTGAGAAACATTTGCAGGCAAGTTGGAAGAAGTTGGCCTGGAAAAGGTGCCCTGAGACAAATGAAACTAATTTACTTGCACAAAAGATTTGGAGACCAGTGGAACTTGGATGTCAAATGCTACCTTCCTTCCAAAAACTTCGAGTTCAATCAGCTTGCTGCTCCATTATTCACTGCATGGTTGAATAATGGCAGTCTTGCTCCAGATTTCTTTCACCAGGAGGAAAGTTGAAGATGTGGGTGGAGCATTTTGGAAAGCTTCCCAATTTGATTACTTACGAGCATGCTTAGTAGAAGCACGGCCTCATGGCTCAGCTAAGAGCAGATGCAGAGAGTTACTTGGATTCCATTTACTTTGGGAATCACAGGAAAAGACAGTAGAGATATCCCAGGTATCTCTGGAAATTGTCCACTTCTCTCCATTCTCCCTGCCATTATCTGGTGAGGCCACCATCTCCCTTCCTTTGGGTCACTGAGAAAGCCCTCTGGGTGGTCCACCTGTCTCCAGTGTTATCTTTAACCCCCAGCCTATGCTTTTTCCTGGTTGGTACCAGGGTGATGTTCTTCTAAAATGCAAATAGTATTGCGTTATTGTCTTTATTAAAATCATGCAACAGCTCCCCACTGCCCCCAAGGTAAGTCCAAGCTGCTGACTATGGCTCCTACTTACATCTCTCACAACTGCCCCCAGCACCCCAACCTGGAGAGACAGCTATTTATAATCACAGTCATATTCTGTTTCACTTCAGTGCATGAGACCACGCTGTGTTGGCTCCAGGTTTTGGCACATACATTGTCTGTCTCTCTTTCTCTCAGAAATGCTCTTCTCTGCCCTCTTTTCCTTGCTAACTCCAGCCCATTTATTAATCAACAAATCTTTACTAAGTACTATTTTGTGTAGGCATTATGCTATGAAAACAGCAGTGAACAAAACAAAGACACCTGCACTGGAAAAAGTTACATTCTGTGGGGAATTAAGGGAAACACAGAAACAATAGTCAAAGCAGATGGTAACTAAATAACATATAGAAAGCTAGACAGTGATGAGTACTATGAAAGGAAGACATAGTGGAGCAGGATGGGGGTACCAGGTGTGGCTGGCGGGCCAGGGCGGTATATTCCTGACAGTGCCACCTTAGAAAAGGCCTCACTAAGGTGAGCTCTGCAAATGACCTGCAGGAGGGGAGGTAGTGAGCCATGTGCCCATCTTGGGGAGGAGCATGCCATGCAGAGAGGACAGCAGAACAACGGCACTAAATCAGGGGACTGCCTGAAGAATGTAAGGACCCCCACTGGCAAGATTCACATGCCTGGTCTCTTCCTTGGCTTCATGGGTGGGTTTTCAGGTTCGCTATGGCCAACTCTCAATTAACATGTAAAGAGGCGTCAAGGAGATGTTACAGATAATGCTAAAATGACAGTCCATTTCTAAAAATCAGTCAAGACACTAGCTGAAATACACTACAAAAGAGATTTAATGCAAACTCATTTGTTTAAAATTATGCCTGATATTTAGGGATATGTGCATGATTCAAACGGACTAACAACATAAAGGCAATCACTTAGGTATCTTAAATACGAACACCCTCGCCTGCCCTCAAACAGAACAACTTCTGGTTTAGCTTTCCATATTGGGCTTCTGCAAAGATAACAAGTTTTAATCTTAGTAATCAGGGAAGTATAAATCCAAATAAGATTCATTTATTTTATGATTGACAAAAATTACAAAATAAAATAGAAGCTTCACCATATTGAGCTTTCATGTGAACATGGGGCAGGGGACAGAGCAGGCACTAGTGGGGACAGTGCAAGTTGGACTGAACACTTTGGAGGGCCACTTGGCAACATTAAGCACAGGTGAAGATGGATGTACAACCTCCACCCCTCCAGTCCAACTCCTGCATATATAACCTGAAGAAACTCTTGCACATTTGCATAAGACCTATGTAAGAATGTTCACAGCAGCCCTGTTTACTGATAATGAAAAATTGGAAATAAACTTCAGTGACCATGCAAAGGAGAAAAGAGAATATATTTGCTATGGGGTTTTTGTTTTTTTTGTCTTTTTTGAGATGGAGTTTTGCTCTTGTTGCCCAGGCTGGAGTGCAATGGCACCATCTCGGTGCCCCCCTGCCTCCTCTGCCTCCAGGGTTCAAGCGACACTCCTGCCTCAGCCTTATCTCGAACTCCTAACTTCAAGTGATCCACCCAACATTCCAGTGTTGGGATTATAGGTGTGAGCCACCGCACCTGGCATATTTGATATGTTTTTAAAGTGAATATCATATAGCAGTGTAAAAAAGATAAACCAGACTGGCACGTACCAACATAAGACCAGAGGATGAAGAATAACAGGCTGGTGCGGTAGCTCATGCCTGTAATCCCAGCACTTTGGGAGGTCAAGGTGGGCAGATAACTTGAGATCAGGAGTTCCAGACCAGCCTGGCCATCATGGTGAAACCCCGACTCTACTAAAAATACAAATTTAGCCGGGCATGGTGGCGTGTGCCTGTAATCCCAGCTACTTGGGAGGCTGAGGCAGGAGAATTGCTTGAATCTGGGATGCTGAGGTTGCAGTGAGCTGAGATCATGCAACTGCACTCCGGCCTGGATGACAGAGTTAGACTCCATCTCAAACAAAATAAAACAAAAAACAAATGAAGGATAGCGGTTATTTCCCTTTTCTTTTCTTTTTTTAAAAGACAGAATCTCACTATGTTGCCCAGGCTGGAGTGCAGTGGTGCAATCTCAGCTCACTGCAGTCTCCACCTCCAATGCTCAAGCAATTCTCATGCCTCAGCCTCCCGAATAGCTGGGACTACAAACGCAGGCCACCATGCCTGTTTATTTTTTGTGTGCATTTTTAGCAGAGACAGGGTTTTGCCAGGTTAGCCAGGCTGGCCTGAAACTCCTGGCCTCAAGTGATCCACCTGCCTTGGCATCCCAAAGTGCTGGGATTATAGGGATGAGCCACCATGCCTGGCCCGACAGTGGTTATTTCTGATTAAAATTTTATTCCTTAAGCTGAGTGGTGGGCACTTCATTTTGTTATTATCTATATTTTTTTTGTGGCCCCAAACTATTTGACTTTTTTTTTTAATTAAAAAAGGCATGCACTGGCCTGCAAGACAGCAGGCCACTTCTTCTCTTCTTTGCAGGCTTCAGTGATTTGGGTCTGCACAGTACAAAAAGCAGGGGCTAGGGATGACAATCTTTCACAGTGTCTGGTGACAGGTACTAAAAAAGAAAAATAAAACCTCTCCTGGTGCCAGTTCAAGTATCAGTGGTTGGGATTTAATGAGACCTTTGCTGGCCTCACCCTATTACTTCTCACATTACATGAAACATCTCAGGCTTTAGGTCAGGCGTCCCCAGACTTTTTACACAGGGGGCCAGTTCACTGTCCCTCAGACCATTGGAGGGCCGCCACATACTGTGCTCCTCTCACTGACCACCAATGAAAGAGGTGTCCCTTCCTGAAGTGCGGTGGGGGGCCGGATAAATGGCCTCAGGGGGCCGCATGCGGCCCGGGGGCCGGGCCGTAGTTTTGGGACGCCTGCTTTAGGTAATCAGTGTTAGTGCTGTGCAGTCACAATGCATAATAAAGTTCACTGGCCCTGGTATGGTGTGGCTTTCACCACCTCCTACTGATGGCACTCAGCACCTCTCAAATGTCACTCAAGACTTTGAGGACCCAGGAGTGCAGTCTAGGGACCTAGGACTTCTTAACTCCTTGAATGACTAGGATTGGACAGGGAATGGGTAATAGGGAATTCCAGCAGTGCTCTAACTAATGGTTAATAATGTTCTTATTTTTACTTTATAAAAGAGGACTGGAGTGAACATTTGCTGTCCAGGAATTTTAAGGACCTGTTGCTAAGGCAGGGGCTGATGGCAATGATCCCAGTAACCATGCTGGTAGAGCCTGAACAGGAATCGACTAATCACAGTGGAAAAACAGGACCAGATGACGGCAGGGCAGATCTCTGCTGATACTACCTGGATCTAGGTGCACCTGACCCTAACCTTGGGCATTTTTGTTATTAAGCCAATAAATCCCCTCCTCCTTAATCCAATTTGAAACAAACTTACAACTCAGCAGTCAAAATGAAAGTCATATCATTGGTCCTAAAAAGATGTTTCTAATTAACTTTGACTCTGCCTTGCTCATATTCACCTGATTGA